AAACACGGGAAGGGGATCTTTTGGGTTTAGTGCTGCTCAAAGCAACAGTTTGGCAATGATTCTGTGAGTAATGTTCCAGAATAATCATTCAGTGGAAGGAAGCAACCATGTCTGATTGATTTATGCGAGTACTTTGTGTGAAACGGGGAGGATAGAAAAAATAAGCAAAACATGGTCTGGCCCCATATAACAGTCGTCAGGTGCTGTGAAGAGGAAGCTGCATCAGCCCTGGTTCTCCAGGGCTTAAATCCTGACCATGGTGGCTTATATATCAGGCTTGTATGAGCATATCCAGGATCCTGATGGAATGGGGATTTGGAGAATGAAGAATTACAGTATGACCAGGGCCTGCTGAGGGGACCTCTCTCTCTCTCTCTCTCGCACACACACACAGAAGCATGCACCTTCTGGTATAAAACCAAAAGCAAAACATAACAAACAAAACCTGAGGCAGCCAACATTTTTCTCCCTGATCTGGTATGGTGCCCAGAGTCTGATGGGCTAGAAGACAAATGTTGAAGCATGGCTGGATTTTGTGGACATTGCTTCTCTCTCTGTCGCACACACACTGACTGACACATATACATATGTGTATGTGCTTGGTCACTTGCACATTGTCTGTCATGAATAAAGAAACAAACAAATAAAAAGGGACCAGCCAGTGGCATGGTTCATAAGGCAGCTGGTTTTCACATGACTGACTGATCAGTTCAAGTTCTAAACCCCAGTGGCTTTAAAAACTTGCTAGTCAGTGGAGTGTGGGTGCCCCAAAAGTTGAGAGGAGAACTGAGGAGAAGGAATTGTGGTGTGGCTATTCTATCATGGGGGGTGACTTCTCATTTTCTCTTTCTCTGAATACTTAAGCATCCTATAGGAAATACAAAACTAGGAAAGAAAAAATTTTGATAATAGAAAAACAAGTTAGGCAGATAACGAGAGCAGGGTGCACTCAGCAAGCCTCTGGATATGCAGAGAGGGCATGTCCCTTACCCACGACCTGCGTCCATGGCCCCTGGGCTCACACCTGTGTGAGCCTAGAGGAGAGCTCATGGGCCCAGGATCTGTGTTTCTGTATGGACCAACCCTCTCCAGAGTGCACACAGCTGGAGATACCAGCCTGGCTGCTCGCTGGTAGCCCACCGGCTTCACCAGTACCTGCGGCCAGACCTCAGGTTGGAGGCAGAGGCTAGTAGTTTCTGGGCTGGGTGAGGTACCATTTCCTTGGCAGTAACCTGCTGCAGAGAGAGTTCTGGCCAGGAGAAGTACCTGCGGGTGGTGGTAGGCACGGGATGTCAGCATTGAAAAGTGTTGCACCGAGCAGTGCACTGTAATTGGCAGAGCATCCTGGATGCACACGTTGAGTGGAGCAGCACAAGAAGAGTTTGGAACCGTAAGAGAGTGGATGAGACTGGTCAGGTTTTCCTGTTGTCTTTTCAGTCACAGAAGGAGGTTTCACACAAACTCAGGAGGTTGAAAGATTCTTCAAGTGAGGGATCATGATGGGTGTCCAATGATTTTAATTAGTAATAAAGCAGATCTAGATCTTCAAAACAGGGAACAGAGGAGGAGGACATTAGCACGACAATGTCAGGCAACACGCATGGAGGCATCTGCGAGATTAGGATGAAGGTCAGTCAAGCTGTCCATGAGCTTGTCCGCATTATAAGGACATTCCGGGATTTTTTTCAGGAATGTCCTCCTTCAGCAGAACCAACATGGAAAGCAGAAGACCAGAAAGGCAGCCCTTGTGTCATTTTCTAAGAGTCCCTTCAGGTTTAGCTGTCGACGACCAGTAAATGCCCTCATCTTCTCCCTCCCTTCTTACAGTGTTGGTAATTTAGACAAAGGAGCCGCATGTTCACCTTAGACCACGAAGATGGCTAATCCTTTCTGTGAGGCCAATACAAGGGTCATTTCCAGACAAATTCAAGGAACCACTAAGGGTGCTTTGAAGATTATTTGATCCCTTTAAAATAAACGTCTATATAAACAGACACATTGTTTTTCTTGTTTGTTTTTAAAGGCTCTCATTTTAGGTTTTATTTGTTACTTTATGTATTAATTTCCTTTTTTTTTTGGCCATAGGGCGTATGATCTTGCCAGAAAGAGACAGAGTGTGAGGGAAAGAACCTTCCAGAGGGTATGGCCACAATGCAATCCCTTCTCCTCTCAGGATTTTGAGGTCACACACTTGCACATGAGCAGAGCCTCTTTTTCAAGCCCTTTAAGTTAGGAAACCGTCCTCAGAGTTTGCCATGTGGGATCTAGCACCTGAATCTCAAAGACAACTTGTTGGCCTTTAAGGGCTTCCTTTTTACGTGGAGGAAGGGGGCGGGGAGATTACCACAGGATGTGTGCACTCCACTGGAGACAGAGAGAAAGAATGTGAGAAATCACCCCTTCAGTGGGGATGGCCACACCACAATCCCTTCTCCATTATTTTCCTCTTGAAATTTGGGGCACGCATCCAGTCATTTTCAAGCCAAGGTCCGGCTTTGTGGGATCCAGACGCCTCAACCACCATGCCACCATGGTGGATCAAACTGGCCAGGAAGGATCAACGTCTGAGGCTAATTCACCCCTGCCTAGGAAACTATAAATTCAACCAAAACAGTGCTTTCGGTTTGCATTTTAATAGAGCGGTTACTGGAGCTACTGCAACAGTCCGTGGGCACACTGGCACGTCCTAAGGCATCTGGAAAGTCATTTGCCCTAAGGCTCTATGCCCGCAGACATCGTTACCTCCCGGCCATGTGTCTTCCGAAGCTGGGGTGGGCAGCCCAGGAAAGCTCTGTCCCACACCGTAAAGCCCGGGAGGAGGACCTTCTCTGCATCCCCGATCTCATCCTGCTCCAGTATTCCGGAGAGGTTGACTCGAGCCATGCAGCCACGACCCGAGGAGTTCCTGGCGCTGCACTGAGGTCCTGCCACTACTCAGGCGCTCTGAGCTGGACGTGGGAGTCACCTAAGGCGAGGAAAAATGAACCTGCCCGACCCCAGGAAGCTCTTTGCCGCCAAGGATCCTAGGACCCGCCTCCGCGGAAGCGCGCAATGGGGAGGAAACCTTGGGAAGTGTCCCGGTACGTGCATGAAGGCCTTCCCCCCGCCTAGCTGTGGGAGGCTGCGATGGGGAGGGGCGTGTGCACCCGAGTAAATAAGCCGGTCTGGAAACCGCGGTCATGCCTCTTTGCGGTTCCGCCTGAGGAGTCTCCGCGCTCACTGGAGACCCGCTTCCTTATCAACCCGGACGTGAAACTCCGGGGAAAAAAAAGTACGGTGGGCCAAAGGGTACATGTCATTGCGCAGAAGCCACAAGCATAAAAAAATGCAGTTCCGTTGACCTGAGCTGCGGGTGCTCTGTGCCTATATAAGATAGTCGTGGCTCAAATACATTTGTTTTTTCTGAAGCTCTGCTGAATTGAAAGAGAGTTATAATGGATGAGAAGGAAAGGGACAAAGAATTTTGAAACAATCGATGGTGTGTGTATTTAAGATTATGAGGGTCAGAATAGAAAAATACAAGACTCCCAATTACACTCGGACAGACAATAAGTATAAGTAATTCCCAGGCAATATGTGAGGTACACTTTTGAAAGCATCATTTCATCTTTATCTGGATGTCAAAATGACCTTGGCGTTCTGCAGAGTTTTTCCTATTGTGCAAAATGAGCAGAACAGAAAAAAGGCACAGTTTTTAACTTTAAACTTTTGACCACTGGGGAGGGCCCAGTACTGATACGTGTGCTCTCCTTGAGGACCTGTGCCCCTGAGGGCTCGGACAGGAAGGATGGGAGCCCGCTCAGAGGAAGAGGGCCCTTCTTCCCCCCAGGCCCTCCTGGATCTAAGTCCTGCAGCAGGTCCTTGTGCCAGTACCGGAGGTGCTGAGGGCCCCACAGTAGAGTGAGGCGACTGCTGAGGCTGTGGAGGGGGCTCCACCTCTGGCTGGGGGAGTGCTGCTGAGAAGTGGCAGCTGCCTGAGCCTGAGGAGCTGCAGCTGCCTGAGCTGCAGCCGCAGCATAAGGTGGTGGATAAGTTTTAAAATCTAAATCTGCCAGGGAAGGGTAAATCTCAGAGTCCCCTTGAAGGACTGGCTTTTTGAGATTCTTTGTAGTTTTTTTTAGCTCTGAGGGGTGGGTACCCTCCACAGTCAATATTTTGGGGGGGTCTTT